TTAAGAGTTTTTCTCCACTGAAATACTTAAAGACAATTGAGTGTGAATCCTACATCCACATGGGTGTGGCCGAAGTCCTATGAGTTTTCGGTTTTGGAGCTTCTAAATGGAAATACACTACTTTAGCTTTTGGGATCCGGTTGCGGTTCTAGTTCTTCTACACAATCATAAACACAAGATCTACTCATATTTGACTCCAAAAACACTAACCAAGCTTCTTATTGCTTCTCAAATATTTGTGGGTGTGGGCGAAGTCCTATGAGTTTTCGGTTTTGGAGCTTCTAAATGGAAAAACACTACTTTAACTTACGGGATCCGATTGCGGTTTTAGTTCTTATACCCAATCATACAAACGAGATCTAGTCATATTTGACCCTAAAAACACTACTATAATTTACGGGCTCCAGTTGCGGTTCTAGTTCTTATACCCAATCATAAAAACGAGATCTAGTCATATTTGACTGAAAAAACACTAACCAAGCTTCTTATTGCTTCTCAAATCTTTGTGGGTGTGGCCGAAGTCCTATGAGTTTTTGGTTTTGGAGCTTCTAAACGGAAAAATACTACTTTAGTTTACGGGATACGGTTGCGGTTCTAGTTCTTATACCCAATCATAAACACGAGATCTAGTCATATTTGACTCCAAAAACACTAACCAAGCTTCTTATTGTTTCTCAAATCTTTGTGGGTGTGGCCAAAGTTTTATGATTTTTCGGTTTTCGAGCTTCTAAACGGAAAAACACTACTTTAGCTTTTGGAATCCGTTTGCGGTTCTAGTTCTTATACCCAATCATAAACTCGAGATCTAGTCATATTTGACTCCAAAAACACTAACCAAGCTTCTTATTGCTTCTCAAATCTTTGTGGGTGTGGTCGAAGTCCTATGGGTTTTCGGTTTTGTAGCTTCTAAACGGAAAAACACTACTTTAGCTTTTGGGATCCGGTTGCGGTTCTAGTTCCTATACCCAATCATAAACACGAGATCTAGTCATATTTCACTCCAAAAACACTAACGAAGCTTCTTATTGCTTCTCAAATATTTGTGGGTGTGGCTGAAGTCCTATGAGTTTTCGGTTTTAGAGCTTCTAAATGGAAACACTACTTTAACTTACGGGATCCGATTGCGGTTTTAGTTCTTATACCCAATCATACAAACGAGATCTAGTCATATTTGACCCAAAACACTAACCAAGCTTCTTATTGCTTCTCAAATCTTTGTTGGTGTGGCCGAAGTCCTATGAGTTTTCGGTTTTGGAGCTTCTAAACGGAAAAGCACTACTTTAGCTTTTGGGATCCGGTTGCGGTTCTAGTTCTTTTACCAATCATAAACACGAGATCTAGTCATATTTGACTCCAAAAACACTAACTAAGCTTCTATTGCTTCTCAAATCTTTGTGGGTGTGGCCAAAAGTTTATGAGTTTTCGGTTTTGGAGCTTCTAAACGGAAAAACACTACTTTAGCTTTTGGGATCCGGTTGCGGTTCTAGTTCTTATACCCAATCATAAACACGAGATCTGGTCATATTTGACTCCAAAAACATTAACCAAGATTCTTATTGCTTCTCCAATCTTTGTGGGTGTGGCCGAAGTCCTATGAGTTTTCGGTTTTGGAGCTTCAAAACGAAAAAACACTACTTTAACTTACGGGATTCGGTTGCGGTTCTAGTTCTTATACCCAATCATACAAACGAGATCTAGTCATATTTGACTCCAAAAACACTAACCAGGCTTCTTATTGCTTCTCAAATCTTTGTGGGTGTAGCCAAAGTCCTATGAGTTTTTGGTTTTGGAGCTTCTAAACGGAAAAACACTACTTTAGCTTTTGGGATCCGGTTGCGGTTCTAGTTCTTATACCCAATCATAAACACAAGATCTAGTCATATTTCACTACAAAAACACTAACCAAGCTTCTTATTGCTTCTCTAATATTTGTGGGTGTGGCCAAAGTCTTATGATTTTTCGGTTTTGGAGTTTTAAAACGGAAAAACACTACTTTAGTTTACGGGATCCAGTTTCGGTTCCAGTTCTTATACCCAATAATAAACACGAGATCTAGTCATATTTCACTATAAAAAGACTAACCAAGATTCTTATTGCTTCTCAAATCTTTGTGGGTGTGGCCAAAGTTTTATATGTTTCCGGTTTTGGAGCTTCTAAATGGAAAAACACAACTTTAGCTTTTGGGATCCGGTTGCGGTTCTAGTTCTTATACCCAATCATAAACACGAGATCTAGTCATATTTCACTCCAAAAACACAAACCAAGCTTCTTATTGCTTCTCAAATATTTTTGGGTGTGGCTGAAGTCTTATGAGTTTTCGGTTTTGGAGTTTCTAAATAGAAAAACACTACTTTAGTTTACGGGATCCGGTTGTGGTTCTAGTTCTTATACCCAATCATAAACGCGAGATCTAGTCATATTTGATTCCAAAAACTCTAACCAAGCTTCTTATTGCTTCTCAAATCTTTGTGGGTGTGGCCAAAGTCTTATGCATTTTCGGTTTTGGAGCTTCTAAACGGAAAAACACTACTTTAGCTTACGGGATCCGGTTGCGGTTCTAGTTCTTATACCCAATCATAAACATGAGATCTAGTCATATTTCACTCCAAAAACACTAACCAAGCTTCTTATTGCTTCTCAAATATTTGTGGGTGTGGCCAAAGTCTTATGAGTTTTTGGTTTTGGAGCTTCTAAACGGAAAAGCACTACTTTAGTTTACGGGATCCGGTTGCGGTTCTAGTTCTTATACCCAATCACAAACACGAGATCTAGTCATATTTGACTCCAAAAAGACTAACCAAGCTTCTTATTGCTTCTCAAATCTTTGTGGGTGTGGCCAAAGTCCTATGAGTTTTCGGTTTTGGAGCTTCTAAAGGGAAAAACACGACTTTAGCTTATGGGATCCAGTTGCGGTTCTAGTTTTTATACCCAATCATAAACACGAGATCTAGTCATATTTGACTCCAAAAACACTAACCAAGCTTCTTATTGCTTCTCAAATCTTTGTGGGTGTGGCCATAGGACGAGCTCCTCCGCTCGTTCAGGAACTCTTACGGATCACCCACGAGCTCCTCAGCTCTACCCAGAGCTCCTCAGCTCTTCTACGAGCTCCTCCGCTCTTCCAGGAACTCTTACGGATCGCCCACGATCTTCTCAGCTCGTCTAAGAGCACCTCAGCTCTTCTACGAGCTCCTCCGCTCGTCCAAGAACTTCTCGGACCCTCAATAACATGAACTACAAACGGCTTGATCCCTTCAAACGGTACGTAGGCAGCCTTGTTTACAAGGTTCAGCACCCTAAAATTCTATTTATATGTTCTTAAAAACGTGCAAGGACTTCTTTGAAACTAGGAAAAACTTCTGGGCACTTTCTGCAATTCTTCAAAACTTCAAAGAGACGCAAAATTCAATTGCCGTCACGAATTGGCATCGACCGACACCAGGGGTGGTGTCGATCGACACCTACACCAAGATTGGTCTCCAGATTGCTCGGTTTTGCTCCAGAATGATCCATAATCTCCAAATTGGTCCCGTAATTTCATTAACCTGAAAAACACTAGAAAAGACTCTAGAAATAACAAAAGACTCTAAAACTGACACATATATCATGGCTAAAAACGGTAAAATCTATGATATATCACCCAGATCGCATACCTTGATTTATTCCGTAAAGAATTGGCGAAACAGAGAAGAAACCATGAAGTAATTCCAGCGGAGGTGTTCGGAATTCCGGCGGAGGTGTTCGAGATTCCGGCAGAGGTGTTCGAGATTCCGGCAGAGGTGTTCGAGATTCTAGTGGAGGGGAGATCAGAAAGGCGATTGGGTTGAGGAAGGGGAAACATCCGCGAATCGATATTGGTTTGAGTCGATTGGGTTTAGTCGATTGGATTGGGTCGACTGGGTTGAGTCGAGGAATCGTGGAGGCAGTGGTCAGAAGATTCCGGCGGAGGAGATCGAATTTTCCGATGTCAAAGGCGAGATCAAGAGAACGAGAATCGGGTTGAAGAGTGCGAATTAGGTTAGGTTTTGTGTCTATATTTTCTATTTTCTATTAATTAAATTAATGGTTAATTAAAAACTTTTAGGTGCTATTTTTGGAATTCTGGAAATATGGGACTATTTTTGGAAATAAAAAATTTTGGGGGCTATTTATGTAAATCTTTCATATTTTAATTCGAGTTGTGTATTCGTTATAGTCCGAAATTTTACCTAAAATGAACATATCTATGTAATTGTTGGTTTTTAAAAAAGTTTTGAATCTAGAAGAATTCAGTTAAATTTAGTTTTATGGAATTGGTGAATGCAGAATTGCTAATTCAGGCTGAATATGGCTGAATATTTTTTATGTGTTACAATTTAGCCTCATAATGATCCAAACGAGTAAATTTCAATTAATGTTACTCAAAACTTCTTGTGAACAAATGAGAAAAAAAAAAGAAGTTGTAACTTCGTAGAAAAAGGATAGAAAATTGGGAATTTTGATAATAATAGCCTTATTTGAGTTTTGGTTTTTTAAAATGACATTAAAAAAACCTTTCGTGCGCAACGCCATTTACGTCACATGGAAAGACGTATTTGCCCTTGAACGAGGACAATAATCAGCTGAAGGACGCTGTGGACATTAACGCATAACATATCAGCCAATTGTCCATCCAAAATGATGAACAAACTGTAGACAATTCTGGTTGTGAGGTAACGGTGGACAAAATGAATACATCTGTCCAAGAAAAGTCCACCGAACCTGATGAAGGTGTGGATGTCAATAATTCCATGCCAATGTCCATGGGGCAAAGACGTCTTTACCATATGCCACAGAACCTGAATATGACCTCTTTTGGAAACGACTTTTTTTAAATGGCGTTACGTAAAATCAAAACACGATTCGAGGGTAGATTGGTTAAAAATCTCTAGAAAATTAAAAGAACATGAATAATAAAAGCATAAAAAGAAATGCTGGAACTTCAAATTCGAATTACATAAAAATGAGACCTCGAGCTGAGATCACTTCAAACTAGATTATTACTACATCCTCTCTCGCATTGTAACCTTGCAAGTCTTCGCAAGAATAACATATATATAACTTAAACGTGTATGGATATGACGACTTTCACGTAATTGTATATCTTCCTTACAAAGGCCTAGTATGTCGTCCTCTTGCCCGGCCGCACAAACGCGAATTCTTCGGGATAGGGTACTCATCTCTCAAAGACGTTGATGACGTGAAGACACGTAAATAAAGTTGTTGTCCCAAGTACTGTCTTGCCCAAAACTCTGATCTTAAGTTCCACATTCCTACGTTGTCTAATGCAATGTAAATGGCTGTCCATGATTTTGGGTACACCTGAATTCCCATATATGGATTATGTTTATAATTAGAACAAGAAAACACATTTTGTGAAATTAATTGGTGATGAAAGGGAAAAAGAATGACTCACTTGGACTGTGGAACGTGAAACTGCATCGCGTAAATTATAACCATTTCTGCTTCCTGTCTTCCACTGTCCACCATCCATCCTGCAGTTGATCCAACCACAACACACTTTGTTAAACTCTAAAGAAAACAAAGAAAATAATAAATGAAGAGCGTGAGATAGACATACCCGACAACCCAAAAGGAGTAACCATTGAGATGATAACTTTGGACGATATCTTCTTGGTTCTCGAATACAATCTCGATAAAGGTTCGATAGTCGACTTGCAAAACGGATGTGTCAAGGTATAAACCTCCATATGTGGGTTTGTCCGAGATGCTGTTGATCTTATAGACACCACTAATCTTGAAGAAGTCAGCCAGTTTTAGAGGGGTATCAGCTGGCACAAATGACACACTATTGACACCATATCTTTGTTTCCCATTTATCTGTCCGGCTGAACTACCGAAAACAATAGTCCTAATGAGCGGTATAAGACCATAATGGTATGAGCCTTGCGGGTTAGGTCTTGGTCCACTAGCTGTCAAATTGGTTCTACGAAAAAACAAAAACAAATATTCATAGCACTTAATGGAGCATAAAACACTTAATCATCTATGCAAGAAATATTAGTACCTGATGGCACGTGCTTGGTTCAATGACCAATCAACCTGAATTGTGGGACCACCAGGAATAGGACCAGAAGCTGGGGTGGACGAGCCACTGTAACGAAGAACGCCAGTGGTTGTTATGATTTTATCCGTGAACCGAGACGAGACAACCACGTAGTAGTCACGAGGAGATTGGTCAGCAGTAATCAGAACGGAGTAAGACTGGCCAACGTGAACGTCCAATGAGGAAAACATGGTTTGAAGTGTGTGCGTCCCTTCGACTTCCACAAGCTTCATTCTGTGGTTTTGGATTCTGAAGTTTAGAGAATCTTGTAATCCAACGTTTGATATCCTCAATCGGTATGTTTTTCCTATTACATCCACATACACGCAAAAAAGCGTTTTTTATAAAAATATGTTGAACGACAAATATGTAGGAAATACACAAAGATCAAATGCTAACACACCTTGTTCAACGTTTAAGGTAGCACCGTTGCTTCGGCCATTGATAAGAATACCATCAGGCGAAGGTAACTTCCTTCCTCTGTCAAGACGAGACTTCAAATCCTGAAAAAAAAAAAAAAAAAAAAAACATTAATGATACTCCCTTTGTTTCAAATATATGATGATTTAGTTAAAAAAAACCTGGTTTAAGAAATTTATTTTTGTCTTTAATTTTAAAAAATTCAACCAATTACAAAAAAGATTGCAAAATATAAATAGTCACAAAACATCAAATACATTTAAAATTTGCATTGAAACTTGTAAAATATTTTATATTTTGTAACAAAAAAAAACCTAGAACATATCCTATATTTTAAAAAAGAGAGAGTGATCATTTTAATTCAAAATCATTATTCAAAAAAAAGATTAATGATATACATTTATTTCATTTTTATCTGGGCTGACTGTTTTTAAAAAAAATTAGATTCATAAAAAATATGTGATCATTTTCTAAAAAAAATAGCGTTTGCATGAGATTGAAAAACGTGTATATTGGTTTAGGATCATATTATTACCGTGTGATTAGATTTGTACCAATCTCCAATGAGGACAGTATAATCTCCTGCAGGGTCAGCGAATGGAACTGGAATTCCAGGACGACTAAGGATTCTGATACCTCCGAATGCACCAGCTGCCTTGTGAAAAGCAAGAGATGGGAAGTAATAGAAACTTCCAATTTGGTCTTTCACTTGCAAAATGTATGTGTAGTTGCTTCTCGGTGGAATTGGACACGTGGTTCCGTACATTCCATCAACATAAGAATTTCTTCTGTTTTGTATTCCGTTCCTGTCCATCCATTTTTTTTCATTAGAATAAAAACGAACATAACTAACACAAAAAAAAATTCTTTCTTTAAAATTTTACTCTGATAAAACTTTAGAAACTCTATAAGGTAAAACTAAAGCATGTGCATTGAATAATTCCAATCCCTTAGTGGCCTTTTCTGGTTGGGTTATGAAAAATGTCATGAAGATGGCCTAGTTAGTGGATTTGGGTGGGGCCTTTTCTAAAAGACAACGTAAATTCGACGACATCGCCAACATGGTTCACCGAAAGGAGTGGTCCGGTGGAAGACAGCTAGTAAATTAGGGAGATACGTGGCAAAATGTGGAGACCAATATTATTCTGTTATCATTGTTGTTGCGTCATATAATCATTCTATTATTAAAAAAAAAAAAGAAGCATATACATAATTGACGCTAATGACGAGAAGATATAACACGGTAATCTCTACTAGACCCTTATTACTTGGTGTTACTTTTTTTGTTAATGTAGAATGCATAGTATTGAAATTTTTTTAAAGAAATGATTGCTACCGATAAATGGCAAAACCCAGTCCCACTATTAGTTATCTTTGATTAGTCTTTATTAGGAAACTGTTTTAATACTCCTACTAGATATTCGGTTAGTTGTTTATAGACTTATGACATAAGTCACTATGGACCATTTCAAGTTGCCCCAAGTCTACATTTATAACATTCACATGCTTTGCTTTCGTAATAGTACGCATTTCCACAAATATTTATCTACGTTATCAGCCGTTTAAAGCTTTTTTTTATCTTTTTATTTTTGTCAGCAAAATCAAAAGATATAATTATCTTCAGACTTTTTTAAGAATTTCTTTTCTAGATCAGCCTTTTATTTTTATATGTCAGTTTTACATACATGAATTTTCTTTCCGTGATTTTCATGATCTAACAGTTATAAATTAAATATCTGAATCCCTAAAGTTGACATATATATTAGTACACATGATCTAAGTAAAACGGAGATAATAGTAGATAATAATATATAATAGAGTTAAACAAATGATGACTATTTATTTGATTTAGGTTCTTCATCAACATAAGAAAATTTGATGACAAAAAGGATTAAAAAAAAAGAAAGGTATTTTATTTGTAACTATAAGTTCCATATATAACTTTCAACATCAGGCAGGAAAAAAAAGAAAGAAAAAACTATTCAACTTCGACAAGTCAACAACATATAACCACAGAAGGCAAAGAAGAGTAGAGGACAAAGCAGTAGTTCCAAATGATGAAAAAAGAGATGTTACCATGAGATTAAAAAAGGCTCGTCTAAGCTGTTGTGTACGTTAATGATGAGATTGTCGTTTGTCACACTGTGAATGTCCGGTCCCGGAAATTTCCCATTAATCAATATTCCCTATTTTTCATATCCATAACAAAAAAAAAAAAACAATCAGCATCATCGATTGATTCAATTCACCAGATCTAACCTTCATTGTCATAATATGAAAGAGTTCGTAACTTATTTCATAAACTATTGATTTGCACATTTTAAACCAAACATTACACTTATATGAACGAAAATCTTTTGGAAGATATATTTTTTTTTCTTAAGAAGTAAAAAATTAATATGCAACGTAAAGAGATTAAACAAAGAGTTTTTTTTTTTTTGGTCTGTTAATAGCATGAAATTAAATGTGAATGGAGTAGAGAAACTGACAAACCTGCTGACGAACACCGAGTGGGTAAATGTCGCCGTATGTTACATTCCAGTCAAAGAATCGGTATGGACTCTCGGCGGTTACCGCCGCGAAGAATGATAGGCAGAACAATAGGACGACGGTGCCTCCGGATCTGCCCACCGTCATCATTTTTAATGAACGAGGGCGTTTCTTGTGGTGAGAGAGAAAAAATAAAGAGAGGGAGGATGTGAGAGTGAGGAAGAGAGAGAGTGAGTGATATGAATAGACACACACTTGGTTATGTAAATTTAAGTGCGTTGAGGGAGAGAGCGAGTGGAGGTTCATAAACTTGGCCCAACAAAAAAAAAAACTATGAATATTTGAATATTATACAAGTCAAAAAAACAATTACTGCGTTGACTTAGAACATCAAGAATAACTGAATTCTTATTTTTCAAGAAATTAATCTAATTATTCGGAGTGCTATTAGTTAATTTCGTCGTAAAGCAGCATTGACTCTTATACAACCATGGTTCAGAATTTTAGTATTTGATGTTTTATAATTTAGCAGCTTCTATTTGAATGTATTTTCTTTTCATCTTATACTTAGTAAATAAACTTTTGTTTCCTTTTTCACCTTATAGTTAGTGTGCAAGTTGAGTAGGTAAGTGGTTTAAACTTTAAATTACAAATTAAATTGAACAATGTTTTTCACTATAAACACGGACTGTTATTAATGCTACAAGGGTATCTAAGAGTAAAAAGGAAGCACAAAGGGATCCAACATTATTATCAAAAAAAAAAAAACTTTTCCAAAATTTAATCGCCCAACAATAGATTTAAAGAGTGAAATTGTTGGTATTATTACTAATCAAACACAAAAGCATTTAGTTTCTTTGTTCCCCATTAAACGTCGTTGTAAAAATTATTGTTTTATAATTTTACAGTTTTGATTACGTACGTATTTTCTAACCAAATTTTTTTTTTTACTATGTACGTAATTTCTGTCGATATTTCTTACTGTTAAAACTTTCTTAGCACTTTATAATACCAAATCTAATCCTAAACAAAACCTGTTTTATTTTAAGAAAAAATTAGTGTCGGTGGAAATTGGTGAGGTTCCGGGTGGATCTGTTTCCCATGTGGTTTCGTTGGCTGCTTTTATTTTCTTCATTTGTAGTAGGCTTGTTTTGTTTTGACGTCCTCGTGTTACTTTATCTATTCATCTTAAAATATTCAATATATTAAGTCAGACCAAAAATAAAATACTTTTATTATTCTGTAAAAATTATTCTTAAAATTGATAGCATTACTTACTAGTCGGTGGATTTAAAAGTTTTGTGCCTCGTAAATTTATGCATGTGCATTGCTACATAGGTTAAAACATATCAGCATTGTTATTAAATTGATGTGGCTTAATTCTACTTAGCTAAGGGTCAGTACATATTGTACATCCAAGAATTTTAGGATATCTAGAATTAGTTTCGAATACATTTGATCAGAAGAGCAACTAACCAGAATCAAATCAGTCTAAACACATAATATTTATAGGTATGCACTAAGGTTGCATACTCATATCTGATACACATCTTTGATTTGTTTTCGATTCGTACATGTCTCGAAAATAATATCCATAATTTTCAGATCAGATAAATAGTGCCATAATTCTTTTATCCACACATAATAAGGGTCAGATATTGGATATCAACTTTTTGAACGTCACTTTGAATGATAATGTCTTGATTCGATTTTACTCTACGTTTGGATTGAAGAATAATAGCAGAATGGTTTTTCTTGTTTATTGCGGCTCACACCGGACAGTATGGTCACAAAAACGCAGAAAAAAATTTGTCTACAAAAGCCGGGTATAAATCAAACACTATAATAGTTAGAATTTTGTTGTGAATCCATTATCTTTCGTTTTTTTCATAATTTTAAGTGGTTCTGTGCCGAAACCCGTACATCCTTTTAATTTAGAGACCAAGAAGTTTTATATAGTATTCTTCCAAGTATCACTCATACCAACAATCTCTAGGTTTTGTGTGAGATTTTGCGTGAAATACTTTACCAGATAAACTATATATTGATATTTGGTTTCATTATCTATTCTTAAAAGTTCTCTTTGGAAACGTCACATATTATTTCCAAGATAATGTAGCCACAACATATACTATTCTTAAAAAGTTCTCTTTGAAAACGTCACTGATTATTTCCAAGATAATGTAGCCAAAACATATACATTTATGTAAACTAAATTTTACATTTTTTGTATAAGGATGTGGGAGTAAAATATCATTTTAATGGTGAACTCGTTCAATCAACATCATAATGTGTGTATTGCATGTTACCTCAACATGTCAATTAGATGTTCTCACGAAAGCTGCCGGTCATCCAGTGCTAGAACCTCTACCGGATAATATTGGATTGTCTAAAAATCTAAATTTAAGACAATCATCTTGTAAGAAGTATTAGATACTTATTAATAAGGACAATCATCTAGTAAGAAGTATTACATACTAATATTTATGTTAAGTCATGATGTCAAAAGTTGTATTTTTGTGAATTTTGGGTAGACGTAAAGATAACACACAATCTAGATTCCTTTTCTAAAGTGGACACATGATTGGTCCGGAGCATAAGTAAAAGAACTCATAAGTAAATAATTTCTCTCAAAAACTAATTGATACTTAAAAATATATAAATTAATTATGGGAAAATTGGATATAAAGGATATCTACTTAAAAATTTGTCTAAATATACCATATTTTTGTAGATTGGTCAAATAGGTTTTCTAAATTTCAAAACCCAAGTTTACCCTCACTTCTCTTAATATTTATTAAAAAAATAAAACTTCCTATCTGACTTTACAAAATCAAAATAGAAATAAAAAAATCACAAAACCTCCAAATAAATAAGAGTTTTTCACGAAAACTTAATAAAGGACTTGGGTTTTTTTTTTTCTTTGTAGACCATCTCTCGAGGAAAAAAAATACAGAGTTAGCCATGGACAGAGGGTATTGGAATAAATAATTGCCAAGAATAAACCAATAGCTAGATCATCCTTGATTGATTATTAACAGTTAACTCGATTGTCGTCGTGTTTACAAGCAAACAATTATGCTTTTCTTGATTTTTGAAACACTACACTAAACGCAAATTCAACTCTCTTTTTTTTTGTCAATTGAAAAATAAATGTCTTATAACCTATTTATTCAGTTATACCAATGTTGTGATTATTTATTTGATTAAGAAAGGCAAATACAGGGATAACTTTTTCTCTCCTTTTTTTCAAGACTCTTTCATAGGTCTGAAGTAATATTTATTTGTAAAAACACTCGTGGTGGCTTAGCTTAGGGTTTAGAAACGTTTTGTTTTTAACTTTTTCTAAAAAAATGTAGACAATGCTTTCTAAATTATGTAGATCGTAATCTAAATAATTAATATTCATTTAAATCGTAATCTAAAAAAATATTTTGTTTCCTTTTCTGAAGATTTACTTTCTATCTTTAGATCATTCTAAAAATTACAGAAAACGAAATCTACAATACCGTAGAATTTACATTCTAAACGAAGATTACAATTTCTAACGATTGCAGAAGATGTAGAAATTATTAGAACGGATATTCAGAAAAATTTAGAACATAGAGCAAACTGTAGAATACATGTTCTAAATATTTTAGATATATGATTTTCGGATTTCTAAAATTTTCAGAACATAAATCTAGTCTGAAATATGTAGAACATGTACAAAAATGCAGAATACACACTCTGAGTTTCGCAGAAGTCTAGAAAACGTGTTCTACCAAAATTAGATGAAACTTTATCTATAAAAAAATCAGCTTTTTTAAAACCAAATTTAAAAAATTTCACTTCAAATCACCTCTACTCTTGTATATCTATCTATTCTTATGATTTTTTTTTTTTAAACATGTAAATTAGGGTGTAGGGGTAAAATCGTCCAAACTGACAATCTCACAAAAAAGATGTATATGGACAAAGTTTTGTTAGAACAAGAAATTAGTACCAACAAAAAAGCATAATTTTTTTAGATGTACATGGAGCATCTAATAAAATTTATAAACGTTGGATCGGCCCTGGGTATACACCCATAAAAAAGAATTAAATAGCTTGCTCTTAGGTTTTAAAGTAGTAATAATATATATGTTATAACAGTAGTGTTTGTGTGTGTGCAGGCGACATAATTAACAACGCAAGAAGTGATTGTAAAATGAATTGAAAAATAATAACATGTAAAGAACGAGATCCTAAAAGAAAGGGAAGTCAACTCTAATCTTTGAATATTCTATGTTTATGTTCCATAAATACTATATGCTCTCACATGGATGCCAATGGCTTCAAATGGTGTAGACTAATAATAGGTGTGAACTTTTTTTTTTGGGTTCACAATCGGTGTTGAGCAAAATGATAAATGGTTAATATCAAACAATGGTCACAAGTGGGCAAAACGAACGTAACAAAGTTGAACATTGATTATAAATGTCTAGTAATAAGGTATCTTATAAAACTAATCATTATTTAAGAATAATAAAAATTAACATATGTAAAACTATTTATGTATATATAAAAAATATAACTTTTATGTTAGAAACAATTAGGGCATAATCATAAATCATGAAATCATGAGATGATTGTCTAAAAATACAGAAATCATGAAAATCGAAAAGAAACTAAAAAATTATGATATTTTTAAATATTTTAGTTTAGTAATATTTACAATTATCTTTAAAGTATCTATATATACATTTTTGGAGTACATTTAGCAAATAAATCCTGGAGTTGGACTTATTTACGGAGGAATGCCATTAGCATTAATTGTTTAGATATTAATTAATATTGGAAATTTTAAAAAATAATCTTATAGAAAACGTTTAATATAATAAATGAAAGATTCTTAATTATTAAGATTTCCTTACCCAACAACTCAATTTTGTAAAGATTTTTACAAATAATAAATAATATTTATTGGTATTAAACTCTTATTTCCTACATTTCTTACACATAATATCCTCTTATTTGATAACAAGAAATATATATATTGCATATTTTTTTAAACTAAACGATTTCCAAAAATTGTTTCCATATAATCAATTTAGTTTTAACAAAATCATATCTTCTCAATTTAGCAACTAATAAAAAAACAATTGAAACAGATTAATAAATCAGTTCACGTAATCTAGGGGATTTAAAAGTTTTCAATGATAAATACTAAATTCGTTAAAATGATAACAAAAATAATATTTTTTTTTTATATATTTTAAATATATTACCACCAACT